CAAATATCCAACACTACGTCTTCAGTGAGTTTCATACGTATAAAAAATGAAATATTCGAAGATTCTGCATTCTCGATAATTCCGATGGTTTATTTAATGAATTCCGTTGGTAAAGAAAATGAGACATGCCAAGATTTACAAATATCCCAGACCACCATAGTGTCTTTAGTGAGTTTAACTGCTAAAGAAAATGAAATATGCCAAGATTTAGAATTATCCATGACCCCCATAATTTCCTTACTCAGTTTAACTGCTAAAGAGAATGAGATATGCCCAGATTTACAAATATCCTACTTTCTTTAATGAATTCCATTGGTAAAGAAACTGACAAATGCCAAGATTCAGTAATATCACACATTACCATAGTGTCTTTAGTGAGTTACCTTCATACAGAAAATGAAATATGCCAAGATTCAGCATTCTCGATGACTCCGATGGTTTCTTTAATGAATTGCATTGGTAAAGAAAATGAGATACGCCAAGATTTACAAATATCCCACACTACCATAGTGTCTTTAGTGAGTTTCATTCGTCAAGAAAATAAACTATGCCCAGATTTTGAACTATCCATGACTCCCATAATTTCTTTAGTGAGTTTAACTGCTAAAGAAAGTGAAGTATGCCAAGATTTAGCGTTCTCGATGACTCCGATGGTTTCTTTAATGAATTCCATTGGTAAAGAAAATGAGATACGCCAAGATTTACCAATATCCCACAGTACCATAGTGTCTTTAGTGAGTTTCATTCATACAGAAAATGAAATATGCCAAGATTTAGAACTATCCATGACCCCCAGAAAAGAAGAATCCTCGAAAGAGAATGAAATACGCCACGATTTACGGATATCCATACCCGCATCGATAATACTGATATTGACTTTACGGCTGATGATAATAGGAGCGACTCCGGTTCCAAATTTACTGCATTTACGTTGGACTAGACAAATGGAGGATTACCACACCGAAAGTGAATTCTTAAAAATGTAATGTTGAACAAGAAAGTGTATACTCGCTTGGATCTAATTGTGGCTGATCAGTACTGGTGATTGATTATCATGTGAAATAGAAGAAACAAGGTACAAAACAAAGTTATCAGCAAGTTAGAAATCGATGCTGATGATAATAATTTCTCCGTACAAGATATTTTACCAAAAGCCGTACTCTGAACTAATAAGTCTCTCTTCTATCTTGCATTTAGATGATGTTCCATTACAATTAAGAACACAAATAAAATTGAAACCAATGTCAGTATCGAATTTTATGTCAAATTATTCGAAAACGGCGAAGAAGGTTTGTGAGCATTATTATTCAGCTTCCGCATGCATCAGCTGGCTTTCTTAATAGTCCAAGTTGCACTCATACAACTGCCATACCAAACGACCCTGGCGATCAACGAATGGATCGTACTAGTGGTGCCGGTTTTGTGCGTTTTGATTATTGTTTGAACAGTAGCAGAATTGATGGTATAAATGAACGAATGAAGCAACAAACCAGAAGCAGAAGTCACTCAAGAAGACGTTCTAGTCGTGATAAACGACGATCAAGTTCAAGGTAAAACATGCAAACGTCCAACCACCTAGTCCATACTTCAATTATGTTTCATTAATTCTAGATCAGACTCAAAATCAATAACTTGGATATTGGCAATTAGTTAAAGGAGAACGTGAAAAGTGTCCACACTATGTTGCTTATTCAAGATATGGTGTTCAGTGATATTTAGCAAATGATACATTAATTAAGCCGATAGATTCTTTAGAAGTTTTCAACAAACAACAGTCAATTGTACTCCACTTATATGAACGGAAAGTGTGCCAAGATGTTTTTCGTCGAATTATTCGTCATATTCTTACTGACTTTAATTTGAAGGAAGAACAACGACGTGTAACATTACATCAAATAGTACATCGTTGGCCAGCATTATGTTTTGATGATGGTATTAATCAAATTATATCTGAAGGCGACAATTTCGATACGTACAAAAATCAATAACTTGGACATTTGGACTATCGTTTAAATGTGAAAAATGGAATCGAATTGGATGTCAACAAATAAGAAATTTTAACTTAACCGTTAATTGTCAGACGGTCATGATGAATGTAAAATCACATGTTAATATTGACAAGTTGCTCGCATGGACTGATGCTCGCTAGGACTGATGCTCTCTTGGACAGATGCTCATCGAGACTTATGAGACTGATATTCAGAACCACTATGCATATTTGTTATTACTGACGGATCACAAATTCAGCTATTAAAACGTAAAGATACGAAATTGTTCTCGTTCAATGAAAATACTAACACGTTCATCGAATTACCAGCCGTTCAATTCTCAAAAGTTCAAAATGCTGCTAAACATCTGATGTTAGTTTATACGAATGTTTTTTTTTTACCGAGTTATAGGAAAAATACTGAAAAGTATTGTTTAAATTTTAGAAACTCTATAACCCGATGAAGAAAGGTCTAAAATTAAATTCCAAATGTATATCTCTGCGAAGCCCGGGAGCCAAAAACTAGTTTTGCGAGAAAAAACGCATTTTGTACACAGGCCACCTATTTCAGGGCATATAGATAATATGTCAACAAGTATTGTTAGAGAAGAAGGGAATAGTTTTTCTATTTATTGTCCCTGAGTGTCGCATATTGAATGAGTTAAGCTTTGGAATCGAGGTTGATTAGCTTATTTTTTTATTTAGAAAGATAGATTTATGGGTTTAAATTGTACTTTTTTGCACGCATAATATGAGAAAACTGCATAAGTTGCTATGCACACGCCATCTCCAGAAATTTAACCTCATTCAGGACGTCTTTGAGTCCAATGCATTTCTATTGGCCACTTTGAACATCCAATGCGATTTGGAATTTTTACGGGATAAGTGTTTGGGATGGGTTAGCTTCTACTGGATCTATGCGGAAGCGCTTCTCGTTGCAAATCAGCCGTTTTTTTACACACTACCATAAGACCAGTAATATAATAAAACAAGGTTAAAAACGGTTTAGCTGACATTTTCACGCTTTACTCCGGTTCATATTAGCATAAGGAATAAATATAGAAAGCGTGGTGATGTACCAATACAAACACATGTGATCCGTTTTTATTAGTTTTTTTAGGGACAACCGCTTTTAGCCACGAATAACTGCCACTAACAGTGGCTAAAAGTAGTATTGGTAAAAATTTCACCATAGATAAGAAAATGTGTGGATCTTACTTTCCCATTGGTCAATACCAAACAAAAGGGAAAGAAGGAAAAACGATGTCGCAGAAGTATGTTTCTTGCTCAGAGGTACAAGAAAAAATGCGAGAAACTAATCGAATTTTATACAGTTTAACTGTATCTGAATCTAATAGATTCAGATTTTCATCTAGATCATGAATATAAAATTGATTTTGAATAACAAGGCTATAGTAAATAAAAAATCAAGTTTTTTATGTTTACCTTTCTGAACTATATGTAAAAAAGACAATTTTTTCTTTTTTTTCCTATACAGTGCGAGTGTCCACGTGATGTCAGATGCTTGTTTTATGCAAGATTTATTCAATCTTTCAAATATCCATAGATCAGCACAACATAGCCGCCGAAACACATGCTCAAAATGTTTGTATATACTCAGAATTTTGAGCTCTATCCGAATCTCAATGCTTCAGGAGGTAGAAACGTATGCTCGGGGAAATATACATGTTTTAAGGAAATGTTGACAAAAATTAAAATCCGTTTTTTAACTTAATGATAAAATATTAGAGTTTCGTTCAAAGTTCATTCGATAGAGCACATGAAACTCTGTATGCTCACAAAATTCCGAGCTTTCGAGTAATCTCCTTCATGATATTTTTATTGCTTTAACGAATTTTATCAAAAATTCATTTTTTTCAGTTATTTTCAAGTAAAAAAAGATCTCGGGCCATTTTCATCGATCTAAAAATTTGCAGCGGAATAAAATTTATAACTTTAGAATGTTTTGTCTTTCTGAGGAAATTACTTTCTAAAAAAAAGACGATGAACTCGATCATTAAGGATATGTGATAGCTTAGGGTTGTATCCAAGAACTGCTATTATACGCTTTATAGTTAACCAACTTCTTACTACTGTAAAACCTCTATTAGTGAACACCACTAATTCCAACGGGCATATTTCCATTCAATATACCGAGATGACTTGTTCATTAGAGATAGTTAATTAGCTTGTTTTGTCATTAAATTCATTGTGCTTTCTTCTACTGGGAGATATAAAAATACGTAATAGTTTATGAAGAAATTTATCAAGAATAAAGGATGAAATGCCGACGTTAAATTTTCATGAATTAAGAATATTCGCTCTGCAATCTTTGATAGAGTAGTTTGTCAGATTTAATTGTAGAAGTCATTTTTTTAACGTTTCTTATTAGAAAAAAGTCTTGAGAATCTTACAATTTCAATAGAATTATTTAATTTCGTGGAAAAATGACGTATGAACAGTAGCTTGAAGAAAAGATTTATATAATCTTTATCTCCATTATAATGAAAAATTCTTTTATTGTAAGATTTGCAAGACTTTTCTAATGGGAAATATTAAAAAATATGACTTCTATGAGAAAGACATGTATCAAAGAAAGAAACCGTTCCTTTTCGTACGTAAGGATAATTGTTGTACATATATGTCAGCGTCCAAACTCTGCTCCAGACCAATCTCAGATTGGCCTAGGCCAAATTTCGATCGGAGTTTGACCTGTAATTTCAGTAGTCCAAACTACAATCGGAGATTCGACTAGACCAATCTTGATCGAAAGAAAAAATTGCAGTCCAAAGTTACATTGGACTAACTGTTCTAGTTCAAACTCTGATTGAACTAGTCCAAACTGAAATTAAAAATTTCCTCAGGCCAAACTCAGAATGGACCAGACAAAACAGATATGAAATAGTAAAGTTATAATGTCATTGCAGTACTGCGCGTGCATAACAAAACTTAATACTTAACTTCTTAATCTCTCTTGTTTTCTGTCATGGAATATAACGATTTTATTGATGAGATGCAATCGCAATCGAGTCAGTCAGTGTACAACCATCCTGATAGTAATGATATTGGCAGCAATGGCGTGATTTTGTCAAATGGAAATGATGTGGTGATCGCAGATGATATATCTAACGCAGAAAAAACTTTCTATGCCAAGGTTGATGATTCCAAAAACGGTTTATCATCGGGTATGCGTCAGAAGACTATGATAACTGTATCGTACTATAACAAAATACTTAATGCATTAAAACAAACCACATCTGGAAAAGAAACTGGTGTAAATAGCTATTTCTATGCATGGTGTAAAAAGTTTTTCAGAGTTGATAATTGTGCTGTTGGTGAGTTTATTGGAGTCAAAATAGATAAAGTGGACAGAACCAATACCGATCCAAAACTCTTACCGTGTGTTATTATTGATAAAAAGCATCATGACGTTAAAGTTGTAGGTGTAAATGGAATAATCGATCAATGGTGGCCTTTAGAATCATTAGTTCGTTTATCTGCGGTATCTCAAGAATTACGTGATTTAAATCTCAGTGAATTGAAAGAAATACCACCGATTACAGCTTCAAAGCTTTTTGTTCGTAATGCTCTCAATGGTGTCACTTGCTCATGCAAAGGTGGTTGCAAAAACAATCAATGTGCGTGCAAGAAAAACAAAGTATTCTGTTCGACAAAATGCCATA